TTCGGCCCCTTCCTGACAGATGAGAGCTCAGTGTAGGCAAGCTGGTCTCAAAGAGGGGCTGTGAAGTGGCAGCACCTCTTATTAGGAAAGGAAAAATACCCATTCTTCAGCACCATGAAGTGTGGGTGCCATGAGCAGGAGCAGCACGCTTGGCAGCACACACAGAGCTTTATTTTGTGTCCGTTTGCTATCCTTGGCTCTTCAGCAGGCTGATGCCTTCCCGGGGCTCTGGCTGCTCAGCCTGCCCTGCCATGGCAGTGGGAGGATGGCTGCTGCGGGGCAGGGGAGGCAGGGATGATATTCCCTTTGCTCTGCAGAGCCACAGTAATGGCTGCGCTGTTCAGGCCTGGAGCACTGTCGGTGTGAGTGCATTCAGCTAGAAAGGACAGCGGGAGACATCCCGGGGTCCTGCTGGAAGAGGGATGATGGCTGCCGGGGGGCCATAACCACCACTGTCCCCAGCATGCCAGGGCTGTGGGCACGGGGCAGGGAGCAGAACAGGAGCATGTTTTACAGCTTGCCATTTCCCCTGCCAGGATGTAGGTCTCAGGGCTGCACCTGCTTTTACCTCTGTTTGCTCAAGCAGACTTGTCCTGGGAGGGCACCTGTCTCCAGCAATGGCAGGCAGCATGCTCCAGCTTTGTGGAGCTGGAACTGTGCATCCGGGGCTCCTTTTGTCACCCACAAATGGCACCCCACAGATCTGCCAGCGATCTTATCTTAATGCATTTACATGGTGCAGTCAGGGAAACAGCCTCCTGGCTCTGGGATCCCTGCAGAAGCTCCAAGGGGTGAGGGCTGGGAGATTCTGGGTTCATAAAAGCTCCTTTTCCATCATCATACTGGAGTGCAATCGAAGATCAGGTGAGATTGCTTGGCAGTAACTCTCCTTGGACTCCTCCACCTCCCAAAGTGACCAGTGTGGGACCTCTGATCCGTGCCTTTTGGGCAAGCTGCCCTGCCCCAAGGCAGCTTACTTCTGGTTCTGTTGAGGGGCTGATGCCACGCCAGTGACTGGAGGCTTTGGCCACAGCTTTTTAGAGCAGGGAAGAGCCATCATTGCAAGCTTGAATTATGTTCAACCAAGCAGAGCTGATGTTGGAGAAAGCTCCTTCCCTGGCCAAAGGGCGTAGCTGACAGCAGGGCTGTTTACCAGCTCTCACGTTACAGGTCTAATTGCGGAGGAGGCAGGTCTGGTGTCAGCCACCCGTTCAAATCAGAATGCACAAAACCTCCCTGTTAGATGTCACTGCCCAATTTCATGCCTTCTGCTTCTCCCTCCTGGCGCTAATGAATTCCCCATGTCATCTCCAGCTCTTCCTGATGGGCCTGAGAGTCTGGCTGACATGGTGATACCAAATGCAACAGAAGCCGGTGCCTGCCTCTGGGATGAGGATGGTGCCTCTCCTTGTCAAGGAGGAGTGTGCTGGGTATTTACCCTCCTGCAGGGCATGGTGCCTTGTAGCTTCCTGTCCCACGCTCTCAGCAGTGGATGGTACTGGGTGATGGTAGGCTAAGGAGAGAGCCTAGTCTTCTTCCAGGGGTTTCTGCTGCTTTGAGCTGGGCTAGGATGGTGCCAGAATTGATGCCCATCCTTAGAAGTCCTCTGGAAACCTCTCACATGTCATGTAGAGCACCACTTGGGGCATACTGTCAGCAGCCTCAGGACACATGTTGCCTTGCCGCTGTACCTGGCATCCTGCATGCAGGCAGAAACAACCAGGAACCACCATGGCTAGACCCCTTCTGGGCAGCGTGATAAAGGAATGGGGGTAAGAAAGCCAATAGCTACGTTTCTCCAGAATATTCTTTAGACTTCAACGGCTTGTAGCATGACTCTTCAGCATTAGCTCTGTTTCCATCCTCTGAATAACTCACTGTAGTTGGTAGACTTTGTCATCTCACCACTCACCCTCTCTCCCCGAGCTGCTGATCAGTGGAGGCTCTAGCACACATCTGCTGGAAACCTCCCCAGAGGGACCCTGCAGGAGGAGCAGGACTCTGGGGTGGTGTTGCTGGGCAATGGACACCTCTCACTGGCGACAGTGGGCACTGAGCGCAGGGTGCAGGGCTGCAGGCCAGGGGCTGGGATGGTGATGGTGGGAAAGCTGACCCTGCCTGGGAAAGGGTCTTGCGACCTGATTGCTCACTGTTCTTCTAATGCAGTGGTACTGACATCTCCCCAGCGTGAGTGTCAAGGGAAGCATCTTTGCTGTTGTTACAATATACCAACTTTTTTTGGCATAGACAGTACCAGAGTTTCTGCTGCCAGGGCTGTGTGCAGGATGCTTGTGTGCTGGAGCTGTGTGCAGGATGCTCGCGCCTCAGCCTCGTGGTCTGCTCTGCCTGGTTGCCCACCCTTCCTTCAGTCAGGTGATCCCAAGAAAGCACCAGGGTCTGTTTGCTTCTGGGAATTGATAGGACCAGGCCTTATCCAGCAGCAGCCCCAGGCAGATGGAGGATGAACCTGCAGCTGCTTCCCAGCGGGCAGGCTGTGTATGCCAGCCTCTGCTCTGCTGCCCTACCATGTTTCCTGTCACCTGGAGTGCCGTATAAGGCTTGTTTTGTGTGCACATCGTTTTGGGGCTTGCTTTGGTGTGCCCAGAGTGTGCACAGTGCCACGCTCTGCCTGTGCAGCTCCCCACTGTGAGTGCAGGAAGCAGCAGCCCTGAAGCCAGTGGAGATGAGCGGCTGAGGAGCTTGTGGGTTGGAAACCCAGTGCTGGAGGCTGGGTCCATCCTCCATACACAGTGAGGTCCAAGGTTTGCAAACCTCATATGGGGTTAGAGATTAGGGCTCCCGTGGCATGTGTATGCATTGTGCCTCAGAACATATGATGCATAGGCATCTTTTTCTCCCTGCAATTTTCTGAGTGCTAGCAGGAAGACTGTTCAAAATTGAACAAATCAATTAATTAGGGAATGAGTGTGGGTGTAAACAGAGAGGTAGGAGCAGCCAGGGAGAGGTCCCAGGCTGGGGAGCAAGCAGAGGGGACCACTGCCTGCCTTTGTGCCTTGTGACAGTGCCCAGCAAGCAGGGACGGGAGAGAGTGGCCTTCATTGACTCTGGGAATCTCAAGTGAGATTTCTTTTGGAAAGAAAATAAGCAGCGAGCTCTGATGAGAGCAAGTAAGAGACTGAGCTGATAATGGAGGAGATGGTTTGGAGCTCCAGCTCAAGCCTTGCTGCAGGATGACTCAGTCCTTAGCAGAAGACCAGGGGTAGGAGCCAGCTTCCTACCCCCAGGAGTGGATGAGCTTTTAGCACATCTGCAGCTACTGCTTGGTAATGAAGTAAATTGTTGCTTTGATGGGAGGAGATGACAGCGCTTACCTCTGCCCAGCAGTTGAGTGATGCTTTGGGCAAAAGTCTGAGATAACTGGGAACAGAGCAAGGTTTCAGCAAGCTGCTGCTAACATGGGCCCCTTGGCCACTCTGTTGGGAAGGATTTCTTTCTCCCTGGTCCCGCTTATCTAGGGTTAACCTTTTCTGTGTCAGGATACATCTTTTAGTGGGACAGACGCCTGTCCCGCTGCAACCCGTGCTGGCTGGCTCCGTCTCCTACAATGTACTTCATAACCTCTTTCTTTCTTACAAAGAGGTTATCCTCATTTTCCCCTGCCACAAAGTCTTGAACAGAGGTGTTTCAAATGATGGCCCAGGCAACACCGTCTCTGTAAGGTTCCTGCCATTTTGTCCTGCTTTTTGGTCTTGTGCTGGGAGGCAGCAGGAGGCACAAGCGCTTGCTTGGGAAGCTTGTTCCTGTGCCCCAGGCTGCCAGCTCTGCATGCTTAAAAATAGGGGTTTTAAATCCTCTCCTGGGTACAAGAACCATGCAAGAATTTTATAGAGCTTTTTAGGGGGGGGGCAAGGAGGAGGATATTTGAGACCTGGAGCCAGGATGGGGACACAAAAAATCCTCTGCACCTGCTGGAATCATCCTTCAATTTGCTGGTGGGGTGCGACGGGTGCCTGATAGCCTGAGAAATGCCATTGGTTGTACTTGATCCTGGCATGTGCATCAGTGATTTGAAATGAAATGTGCTGTGCCAGGCAGAAAACATCCCTGCTGGAAGATGGAGTTCAGGCAAGGAGTAGTTTATCCCCCCTCCATGTGCGAGGTCATCACTGGTTACCAATTGCACCCACGCAAGATAGGTAACTAATATTGCCCTTAAGATCTGTGTAATATTCCTCTGCAAATAAAGCCTTGCAGCCGGTGTGGGGCTGTTCACATGGATTTGAGCTCTGTAAAGCAGTAACTAGATTTCCCAAAGCTGTCAGAGCAGGTAAGTGATGTTCCCCTTCTCTATATGGGGAGACGGAGTGAGCAGTGCTGGACTGTTGCAGGAGGTGGTGGCAGAAGGCGGGCTTAGGTGTCCAGTCTCCTGACTCAGCTGTAACTTGGCAGGTTTAGGAATACTTCAAAGGGACTCTATGAAGGGATTAATCCCTGAGTTTTGTGACTGGGGCTCTGTACAATCTGACAGACGAAGATATCTGCAGTGGCTCTTGAGCTCCTTGGGCTCCCAAGTGCAGGCTTTGGGCTGTGCTGCTCCTGAGAGCTGGTGCACCTGCAGCATCTTTCTGAGAGCCAGTGCATGTTGGGGTCAGGAGTGCTGGTGTGCCGTGTTCCTTACAGCCCTCCTGTGGCAGAGGGATCCTGTGCCTACCCCAGTGCTGGCACATCAGCAGGGAAGCAGGCAGGTTCAGCATGATTGAAGGTGAAGATGGGAGATGACTAAGGAAAAGAAATTTCTCGAGTGCAGCATGAGAGGAAGAGAGGGAGAATGCCTTGCAGGTCCTCACCCACTGCCAGACTGCTCTCAGTTTGCTGAGAGCACAAGGGGGGATGCCCCTTAACACAGTCTGATGGGGGGAGAGGCGCTGGCTGTGCAGGGCAGGGGCAGCCCAGGTGCTGGGCTCCATCCCAGTGAGCCTTCCCCAGGTGGACCAGCCATGGTGGCGCTCCTTGGCTGCTCTAAGATCCTTCCCTCTCTCTTCCAGGCTCTCCATCAGCTATATTACGACCCAAACATCGAGAACAAGAACTTGGCTCAGAAATGGCTGATGCAGGCGCAGGTGTCCCCACAGGCATGGCACTTCAGCTGGCTGCTTCTCCACATGGACAAGGTGCCAGAGATCCAGTACTTTGGCGCCAGTGCTCTCCACATTAAAATCTCCCGTTACTGGAATGACATCCCAGCCGACCAGTATGAGACCCTCAAGTCGCAGCTCTTCACCCACATCACCCGCTTCGCCAGCGGCTCCAAGATCGTGCTGACCCGGCTCTGTGTGGCACTGGCCTCCCTAGCGCTCAGCATGATGCCGGAGGCTTGGCCCTGCGCTGTGGCAGACATGGTGCGCATGTTCCAGGCG